AAGATCCCAAACAAGATAGATAGATAGATAGATAGATAGATAGATAGATAGATAGATAGATAGATAGAGAGATAATAAAAAAAAATCGAGAGATAGATAGATAGATAGATAGATAGATAGATAGATAGATAGATAGATAGATAATGAAAGGAATCAGATAGATAGATAGATAGATAGATAGATAGATAGATAGATAGATAGATAGATAGATAGATAATGAACAGAATCAGATAGATAGATAGATAGATAGATAGATAGATAGATAGATAGATAGATAGATAATGAAAAAAATCAGATAGATAGATAGATAGATAGATAATGAAAAAAATCAAATAGATAATGAAAAAATCAGATAGATAGATAGATAGATAGATAGATAGATAGATAGATAGATAGATAGATAGATAATGAAAAGAATCGCAGAGATCTACACATAATAGGCTAACATCAAATCCAACAGATACTTAAAATGGCTTTAATACGAAGAACATAAAATTTTGTTCTTTCCTGCCAACCGGATGACGACAACTTAGCAGACATTAATAGCCTTAATACAAAAATATACAGTTTTATCATTCATTCTAACCTGATTCAAAATGGATGGTTCTGAACAAAACATTCACCACTCTAATCAAATCAGATATGCTGATATCTAGCTGTCGGTTCCTAGGAACTGAGCTGTTTGACACTCATACGCCGAATGCGACGGGAGAGTCGAACACACACACACACACAGATATATATATATATATATATATATATATATATATATATATATATAAAGTGAACATTGAAGTCAACACTCAGAGGCTTCTAAGTGTTGACTTCAATGTTCACTTTTATATTTACATACTCTCTATCTCTGATATTGAGCACTTTATCCCATAAATATAGCACATCTTAAAACTATATTTCTTCATATATATATATATATATATATATATATATATATATATATATATAGTTAGAGAGACATGCGTGTGAGTGTAGTGCGTATGTGATTTCACCTGTTTACTGTGTCCATAGCATATAAACTGAGTTCAGATATTATCAAATACTTGTGACATGTCGTATCGCCCACTGATGCCAAATAATTATTAACTGACAAAAATTAAATCTTGTGTCTCTCGTATAAACCGAATTCTTCATTATATTGTTAATTCATCATTAATTTAGAATTTTTTATTTTGTTTTTTTTTATTCTTGCTCAACGTGATTTATTACGTCTTATATCTTAAAATTATTTTTATCAATATAATTTTTTATATATTCAATACCAAGCTGACAGTTAAGAAGGAAGGCGAAAAATAATAAAAGATCTGTTTAAAATGCACGTAGCAGTCAGACTTTTGGGAGGTTAAAGAAAAAAACAACAACAATGAATAATATATATATATATATATATATATATATATATATATATATATATATATATATATATATATATAGTCCTAATGACAATAGCTTTGAACCATTTTCGCTTTATTTAAAAGTTCTGGAAATTTTTTAGCATTAACGCAAATACAGTGTGTCCGATGCTATTTTGCAATCATTGTATTACCCAACTTATGTTGTCACGGTTTTAAGGGTATATTTATAAGAACAATATTTATATAAATTCCAGTTTATAATATCTACCTTGTTAAAAATATTGACTATAACTTGTTTGGAGGATGTCAGTTTTCAAGTATAAAAATATTTATTTATAAATAAACCCAAAAGATAACTCATAAAACATATATTTGATTAAAACCATATCCTCTCTACGAAAATATATTATTATTTCATTATTTTACATGTTAATATGAGCACCTTGACATTTTATAACCTTTCAACGTTGATTTTGTTAACATTCGATTTTAACATTATTTGCAATCCCTACAGTCTTCCATACTTGAATATCATCTTCCATTCTCACAGGCATTTCTTTTCATGACAGACTACAAATTTTGTGTTGGATTAATATCAGGACAGACTGTGGGTCATTCATTATTTCTTGTCTTTGAACACCTTTTTTGGGAGGGCACGATGAGCAATCTTCAGCTTGGTAACATTTGATTAATAATATATCTTCAGTTTTGCCGATAATACGAAAAAACGACTTGTCCAAGAGCTTACAATAATTCCCTACCTAACATGACAGCAACCCTAACTTTAAAGGTCGCTATAATTTTACAGCTTAAAATATGCACCCAAAACCTGACTTTATTTCCTCAACCCAATTGTCTTCTATATCTTGTTGTATGACTATTTCTATGAAGAACCTAAATTATCACTCAGTCTTTAGTTATCATTAAAAATTATTGTTGAAAAATCAGTTTTCATGTACTTCTTCCTCCAAACTTATTCATATTTTTTTATTTAAAGGTGGTAATTCTGTTGTTTTCATGCCTTTTGTCAATATTCTTTATACACTGCATTTTCATTGTTTTCAATCGTAACAGCATCTTTTCAAAAATATATTCTTGACAGTCAATCAATTTTCTTGTTTAATATTCTTTTAATTTTTCTCAAATATCTTTTTATGACATTCCTAAAACCATCTTTTTTTTTCTTCTTCGTGTCTTGCCAATATTTTCAATCTTTTTTATTATTATTCCATGATTTTTGTTCATTATTTACTTTCCGTCATTCAATGATTAAATTATTTCTTTATTGAGACCCCGTATCTATCGCTTGACACATACCAAGATTTATACACATCTGAAATTAAGAAATATCAATAAGCATTTTATATTTATTTACAATATCATAAACAAGACTTCAGTTGTATAATAAATTCTCATACAAGCAAACAAGTTATAAAAATATTCTAATAAATTCGGATATTATAACCTGAAATCCACATCGTATATCCAGGGTGACCTCAAAAAATTTGACATCATTTTAAAAGCAATTATCTTGAAAACTACTAAGTCTATCTCAATGAAATTGAACAGCTTAGGTGTTGAACATCATAAGTTTATTCTGGGACCGATTTCATAAGTGTTCAATATATGCACCGCCTGTGACACGGCACACGTCAAGTCGGTAGTAAAGCTCTGAATAAGCTCATGCCAAACACGTTGAAATTGATGATGTTCTACCAGATCCTTTAGCTCTGCATAAGCAGCCTTCCTCTTTAAAATTTTGGTACCAAATCCAAATTTTTTTGCCAGTTGGTGAAGTTTTTCCGAATTTTGCATTGAAGGCACGCTATACAGTCTTGGGTGACTGTGAGCGAGCATATTCCAAGATGTAAAATGACTTCTCTTTGGGAGTGAACGGCATAGCTCAATCTGAAAACAGAACAAAAATAAAACATTAAATATAAAATCTTGGTCTGTTTCTATACATTCTGTGAAAATTTGAGCTTATTTCAACAAGAATTGCAAAAATTATTAGCTTGCGAAATGATGTCAATTTTATTGGGACACCCTATCTATCTATCTCTCTCTCTCTATATATATCTATCTATCTATCTATCTATCTATATATATATATATATATATATATATATATATATATATATATATATATATATATATATAATTTGAAAAATTTACAAAACACCTACTGTTTAATGGCAATTTTAATGTGAAAATATTGACTTACCTCATAAAAACTGACATTGTTTACTTACAATGCAAATATATTCTCACTGAAGCATTTTTCTACAATTCACAGGTGATTTTTGCTCGCAGACAACAACGGTGCCACCTGTCTTTGAGGATATTGATCCGACTTTACAAAATGATCTTCGACTACCTACGTCCATCATTCCGATTATGTATGATGTAGAATTAAAGCCATACATTTATGGCACCGACCCTGAAATGTTCACCTTCGACGGTTATGTCAGGATTCGCATTCTTTGTCTCAGTCACTGCATCAACATCACGCTACACAGCCTCAAACTGGACATCGATGAAGCTTCGGCTAAACTAATACACATTGGACGCGCTAAAATACCGACAATTCAAAAAATTATTCAAGATGAACGGCGACAGTTTCTCGTCTTCCATCTAAGTCAGCCACTGACTGACGGGTTTCAGTATTTCCTCCAAGTCAATTTCACTGGGAAACTTGAAGATGATCTTAACGGATTCTATTTAAGTTCGTATAAACGAGGCAACAAGACTACGTAAGTAACTATAATTTCTTCATCTCATCATTATATATATATATATATATATATATATATATATATATATATATATATATATATATATATGTTCGTGTGTGTGTGTGTATGCGTGTGGTTGACGATGCATCTATAATAAGCTAAATTTTATCTATATTTTGCACTTTCGCTACACACCACATATATATATAAATATATATATATATATATATATATATATATATATATATATATATATATACATATATATAAACATATATATACATATATATACACACACAAATGAATCTATACGTGCGTTTAAAACTCAATAAATTTAAAAATAAGTTACTCCAAAATTCGCTTGAAGATGAAACAGAACTAATGCTTTTAATTTAATTATATAATTAAATTTGAAGTTTTTAGCTTCAGTTTTTAAAACATGGTTATTACTGTGTAGCAAAGAAACCATATTTTAAATCAGTTAATTTCTAATATTTATGCTCTGTAAATTTACATTGAGCACTGTTTTGTAAAAATAAAAAATATCAATAAGAACACCGGATTATATATCTTAATGTTCTTTCTTTATATATATATATATATATATATATATATATATATATATATATATATATGAATTAATTAATATTACAAAACTGTTGACGGAAAACGTATGAAAAATGTGGAACATACTAAAAATTTCTTTTTTTTTACATTTATTCTTAAAGGATACTCATTTCCATGTTTAAAAACCAAAATAATATTTAAGAATACAATGGCGAATACACAAATCAAAATCAAAAAGCCAAAGATTATTTTAGCAAAGCAGTCTCTCGATTTTATCTTTAGTCATTTCATGGTAGTAAACAATGCGTGTGCAATGAGAATACACGCAGATTTGTAATTGAATCCTTTATTTCATCCAACGGAGGTGGGGTAGACTGCTCTAGTTCCACTGCCATGCCTCTTCCGATATGTCTCAGTTATTTCCCTTTAACTCAACTTTTCAAGTATTTTTTATTCACCACTGCTGTAGCCTGGTATTGAACTCACATCTGTTTATCCACTGGGCCATGTGTCCTCAAGGACTTTGGGTAGATCCAGTGACTAGGCCCAAAGAGTTGTAAGTTCAATACCCGGTTACAAATGTGGTGAACCAAAAATACATGGAGAGTTGAGTTAAATTTTAAGAGTTTAACTGAAATATCAAGAAGAAGCATGGAACGTAGAACTAGAACAATCTACCCCGGTGGACAAAATAAAGGGTTCGGTTCGAAACTCCAATCACGTGAAGAAGGTCGGAGCGTACCACGGCTGAAACGTTGTGGATATGGCAATGAAAATGAGGATAATAGTCCGAATAATGTAAATAATGCATACAATTTTACATTGATATATGTTTCATAAAAATGATTGAAAAGGTACTTCTATTAAGTTTTTATTGTGTTTTTCCTGTATGCGAGATTTCTTTTTCGTCTTAGTCTGTGAAAAATTATCGAAAAGATTTTTTATTCTTAAGCGCTTTCGTTTAATCTATTAGGCATTTTCAAGAATTTTGGTTGTGCAAATGACGTGTAAGTTGTTGGGAATTAGATATGTTTTTACTTCCCAAATACGGCCATTACATTATGGCCGTTATTAATAAATTATGTTGTTATGGTTTATTTTTTAATTTTATTTTTATGATAACGGTTTCAGTTGTTTTTAAATCTTTTTTCAATGTAAAGTGTGTATCACATTTGTTTCTAACGACTGTCGGCGTTGGTAAATTTTCATGCTGGTATACGGAAATTAAAACTAAGCCTACCTTCAAAGAATTCGCCCACCATTTGCAATCATTCAACCAAAATGCTTGAAAGCGGCCAATAAATTAGCCAAAATCGCTGGAAACGAACAATTTCTATACGCAATAAAAACTTATCAGAAGTACCTTGTCAGACATTTTTAATGAAACATTTACTGCTACCCAAATACACAATTATTAGATCTTACACCCAAGCCCATATACATATAATCGAAAGATATTCATATCTAATTAACGATACTAATTAATGATACAAATTAATTAAAATATTGATTTACTCCGATTTATTTTGAGATATATTCAGTGAGTTTGGTCGCCATCTGTTGTACGAGGACATTTATTTAGAATCTGATATACACGCATACATACGCGGAGGTAACTAGATAATTGTGTAAATAATAGACTACGTATATTTAGCGTAGCTTAGATGTGACACAAGGCCGAAATTATGGAGCACCCAGTGAGGATCGAACTCACTACTCAGTCGTAATAGTTCTAGCGAGACAAGCTTGCTAACTATTGCACCGCCACGCGGAGCCCACATATTTAACGTGTATATGGGGATACTTATTCATATTTGTATAATTTCATATTTCGTCCTTATGTCAATGTTTGGTTAGGGTTTATCAGCGCAGATTGTCTAATACACATGAATAAGATAAAAAAAAATGTAAAGAAAAAAAAATACAGGATTATTAGAAACATGCAGTAATAAATTGCAAGAATGATTTCTACACATTCTTCGAGCATTTGTTTGAAAAGGAATAGCTACCAAATATATTTCTGCAATATGTAATTTGTTGTAATTAAATTATTTTCTGTCATGTTTACTGATGTTTGACACATTTATTTATTTTTAGCCTATATTTTACTTATGCATTCTAAAAACATTATTAGTATTAATTATATTTAAATTGCAGAAAATAAACAATAAACTTAATTAGAAACTGGCATTGAGCATTAAAAAAAATGCTTTTATTTAGTAAAATTCATAAAATACTCCATTACTGAATCTATCTTTATCAAGTCCTTTATAGGAATCTTGTGCTATCAAACTATAATCTTTGGAGCCTTTTAATAATTTTTTTTTTTTTGGCAACATGAAAGAGTTATCTCCCTCTTATCCTACACAGTGATTGTATATAAAAAGATTGGTTAAAACTGGATTCAAACAAATCATTATTTGAAATATTTCAAATCTAATAATAAAATCTGCTCAAACAGATTGTAATATGAATTTATAATTTTTAATAATCTGTAAGTTTTATATATTAACAGTTATAGTAGTGAATATTTCAAGTCCAATTTTCAAATTATGAAAGTAATCTGTGTTTAGTTGATATTTAAATATCAGATCATTTTATATGTGAAAACTTAAAGTCAGAAAAATTTGTGTTTAATTAGAATTTATTCATTAACATAGGTTCCATCATTATTAATCATTTCTATCAATGATTGACAAGTGTCATAATAATGTTTTTGTAAACATCTTTGGTTTGGAAGAAATAAATGTAGAGAATGTAGGTTCGGCCTCTTCATGTGTTTTGCGAACTATTCCATCAAAATCTTGTTCTTCTTTGTATCATGTCCTTTCAAGACGCTGGTGATCATGGCTCTCCACAATTTCCTGTTATTTGTAGCTCTTAATAAATTTTGTCTTTTTGTTATCTCCCCTAAATCTTGTTCCTCCGTCCATTTACTCAAGCTCTCTCGGTAGGTTGTGCATTGTTTTCCTCTGTTCCTCTTGGTTTCAATCTGTCTTGTGAGTATCAAATTTTCCAAGCCCTCTTTCTTCATTATGTGCCCTAGAAATTTCAACCGTCTCTTCCTAATGTCAAGTATAAGTTTCCTTTTTATTTTCCATTTTCTCTAAAACTTTATCATTGCTCATATGTTCGGTCCATTGTATTCTCACCTTCCTTCTATAGATCCATATTTTTGTTGCTTCAAGTCTCTTCTTCATTTGTGAGAAGACTGCCCAATCACTGCCATGTAGGAGAACTGATATTACATAACAGTTCATTACTCTCCTTTGTTTGTAACGAAATTTTTCTATTTCTTAATACTTTGCTTAGCTTTCCGAAGGCATCTTTCACTATCCCAATGCCCCAATACCATCAATCTTGATGGTAGTAGTTAATAAATTTAAGTAGTGAACATTTTTATGCATAAAGAGAACTGGTTGATAGTAAAACAGATTTAAGAATATATATGTGCATACTTTCATATATTTGTTTACATTTTATAAAATAAATGCATATTGTTTCAACAGGCTAATGTTCTCAGCTGATATGAAGTGGAAAGAATGTTGAATCCATTGCTAGATCAGCTGCCAAGAAAGTCGGTTCACTGTGTTGGACGAGACAATTTTTCTTTCTGGAATCTATCTTGCATATCTATAAGTCTGCTATTCGTCCATGCTTAGAATATTGCTACAATATATGGTCCGGTGCCCCTGTTATTTACCTGGAGCTTCTTGATAAGATCCAAAGAAGAATCAGCAATATTATTGGTTCTGATCTGATAGTTCGGCTTCACTCACTTGCCCACCATTGAAAGGTTGCCTCTCTGTGCCTTTTTTTTTTTTTTTTTATAAATACTTTCATGGCAAGTGTTCAGATGAGCTCTCCTTATGGTACCTAAACCTTTTGAATTTTAGCGCATTACTATATTGGCGTTAAGATATCATCAATTTACAGTTGAGCTGGTTAGATGTAGCTATAAATTCTATGCTAATAGTTTCTTTTCTCGCACTTCTCGCTTGTAGAACTCCCTTCTGGGGTCATGCTTTCCAGTCGACTTTAATCTGCAAATATTTAAATGCAATGTCAATTACTATCTACTACCCTCCTGATTAATCTTTTCTCGCTCATTATTAATGTTTTTGTTTTCTAATTCATCTGCACCCAGTAACCTCTTGTGTCTTAGTGGCTGTACTACTTTGCTTGGGGTAAAACTGATTAATTAGTTGAAGTCAAATCATACACAAAAAAGTGCAGTTGTATATGAACACTTATTTGATATTCTTTCTCTCTCTCTATCCTTAATTAGCTCCTCTATTTTTGTAATAAATATGGTAATGTCCTGAATTGGAATTGTTTTTCCCGCTAAGGTTTTCCATCTTTTAGTTGTGGCCTTTATTGGTTCGTGTGTTATCATAATGAAACAGCACACCTTTGTGATTGACTAAACTGGGCCTCTTTACATTCAAGGA